ACTGGTTGTGTTCTAAAAAATGATCAAAATACTAACGAAAAAAGACCACTTGAATAAACACCAATGTCTTTTTTCTTCTTATGCAAAAGAATCAGGAGCTCTAGTTACATTCTTGCAGTGATCTTCACCAAGAATTCACCCATGCTTGCTTTTACTGAAGTGGAATAAAAGTCACTGAAAGTGTTACACTCATTCCCTCAAAAACGAAAAACAGATGTTGAAATAAGATGAATTCATTAAGTAACACATTTAACTGTAGAATCTGATTAGTATTTATGATGTTGGCAAAGTTCTGGTTCTCATCTGTTGATTTAATCTATAAATCAGAGTGCTAAACTATTGAATAGTAAGGTATAGATAAATACGTTCCAAGGAAAGGTTAGAGCACCTGTTTCTTAAACAGTGTTGCATTTTTAAGGGAATGAGGAGGGGAATTATTTCTAACCCCCTCCAACTCCCCTCCCCCTCAAAAAAAGAACTGCTGGCTTGTCTTTGAGACAATAAATTTATATCTAGATAATTTATGTTTAATACATTACAAATTGGTTCATAGTCAAAAAATGGACATGTGTGAAGCCTGATTGCTTGGATGTGTATAAATATATACTTTAACTAGAAGTGTAGAAATTTTGGAAGTACATCTGCAGATCCTGTGAAAGGACATTAAATGTCACCATTTGGGATCTAGGCAGATTTTAAATGTTTAAAAGCTTAGCTTGATTGGAAATAATTAGGAGTTGTAGTATCAGTTATGAACTTAAACACTATATAGTTTCTTTTAGAAGAGAACGAACTTACATAAACCAAACCAAGCTATCATTTGACCCCTCACAATAAGCCATAACCCTCATTCTCCCTTCCCACTCAATACTTTGTCAGTTATCATTACTAATATTTCCAGACTTAGATTTTAAGCAGGTCTGAGCAGAAAACCTGTCTCACACCTCAGGTACCACACACATTTACAAGCACTGCATAACTAAAATAAATAATAATTAAGTTTTCATATATTTAGTAACACTTGCATGAATTTTTTTTAAAGAAGCTAATCCAAAACAATAGTGTAGTAACACTAGTGGGACCCACATCACTGTGAGGCACCATACCTCGAATAAAAGTCACTTAAGTTTTAGTTACCTGTTGATCTGTTGATGTACGTTGCTGGACTGCATCATGGCTCACAGAGCCTTTTTTCACTTGAACCCGGCCGGGTGGGGGAGGAATTACACCTGAATATGGGGTTGAGTTATCAGCATCTGAAGAATACAAGGCTGTGTGTCTCAATTCCTGTTCATTCTTTGGACCAACAAATCTGGGTAGAGGGAGGTCCTTTACTGTTAAAACAACAATGATATATATTAAGAGTAAAGGATATTTTTTATTATACAAAAGAAGAATACTTAAAAATGACTAGTTTAAAATTTAGTTCTATATTAAAAGATACTATGGAATTTCATATCTGTTGTCTCTCCATGACATACATATTGAGTTTGGTGCAATATACAAGCAAATGAATCCCGAGATTTTTTTTTTTTTTGGCTCATGCTACACCACTGTAAAATTCTACATCACAAATCCTGTTTGTTACACCTATGGAACCACACAGTTTTCTATAGGGTTCCATGAATGCAAGATGACCGTTTGGTTTTGCAATTGTGACTTAGAATTCAGCTCATTCTTGCATAGCTATATAGGCATGTTAATTATACTTTCTATTACAGTTTTGCTTACTGTATAAATCTGATCCATCACAAGTTCCAGGCATGCTTGAAAAGTTATTAAAAGTCTTTGCACTTAGGGTGCTTCATCTATAGATCTAGAAGTTAAAAACTTCACTAAAGCATTTAGATATAACAATCTATACAGGGAGTAAAGAAGTGGTGCCTTTTTTATCTTCACAGTAGAAACCATAATTCAGCCTTTATTTCTCAAGACTTAGCTAAGTATTGCATAAACACATTTATTACTCATCCACTTTAATCTTGTTTCATCTTTTCTACATAAGTAGCTAATAAGCTATTTTACAGATACTACCAAGGGATGTTCAGTTACAGTCAGACTTAGCAGTAATTTCATTATAAACCCATTTTTGAAGTCTACACATGCAACTTTACCAAGCTAAGAGGTACACAGCTTTACTCTGTCTCCCCCGGAATAAATTTTGTTTCTCAGAGTGTGAGAAATCATCTCAAATAGCTCTGCCATCCCTCTGAATCCTGACCTGTAAATGGCCTTCCTAGTCCACTGCCAGTGAAGTCAAACTGTGCAATTTGTTGTATAGCTTACTTGTAAAAAATTTTTTGAAGAACACACATTTGCAATCAACTCATTTATGAGGTAGTTATCTAATTTTATGTGGATTAATTTTATTATATAAAAATTAAATATACTGGTACTATTGAGAGTCATTAAAAGTAAGTGAAATTCTTCATACAATTTGTTAGTTATTGTGTAAACTAATTTTTGTTTTGCTAAAGACTGAACATTAAGCATTCAAGCAATTTGAATATTACCCTTTGAATACATAATGTTTTAATAATTTTATTAAATATAACCAAGGAACAACCCCACAGTTTAGTAACTAGCATAATATGCTAACAGGGACACCAGAGTTCAAGCATAAGTTCACATTCTCACTTATGCGTGGACTCAGCATACTAAGAACAGCATGTTGATCTCAGTGTTAAGGTGGGGTGTGACCCACACTGAAAAAATACCGTTTTAAGCTTCAAATACTTCTCTTCAAACTTCCTCCCACCCCCACCTTGCCTTCATCCACAAGAGCAAAGAAATTCAGTGTAAGATGACTTTGTCCTTTGATGCTGCAATACTTAGGGTTTGCATGCTCATTTAGAAGCCCCTATAATATCTACATAACTAATCTCTAGTTAATTTTTATTTTTGCAGGAGACTGTTTCCCACACCACAACAACAGAACAAACAAGTGACATGCATTCACAGTGATCATCTGCTCATTTTATAATTCCCAATTAGATAGTTATCCATGAAAATGTCTTTCCAAATTAAGTAGCAACCCAAAATTTACTTTGATATTTCCAGCATAGTAATTAAAGCAATATGAGTATTGTCATTTTATACAACTATTTCAGAGCCATATTTTACATGTCCACAAGTGCTTAACTATAAATCTGTTTCGATCTCTCTCTGAACTAATCAATCAGCTGAGACAAGAGTTATGTTTGGAAGACACTAACACTAAGCACTCCAAACTTACCCAAATCAACTGTAGCTCAAGACTTGAAAAACCCACTCACACAGGCCAAAATGGACGTATTAAATAGGAGAGTTGACAGACAGGGACAGAGGCTGGTGCAGCACACGGAGGTGAGGCTGACCAGCAGGCAAAGTCAGGAAAAGAGACTGCCGGATGGTGGAAGAGGTCTCTCCTCCCATTCGGCAGTTCATGTACAGGGGGCTGGGGGGGGGGGGAGGAGAGGAAAAGAATTGGGCTCAAATAGCACCTTCAGCTAGAGAAAGGCAACATGGAGGAGCAGAGAATGAGATGAATGAGTGAGAAAGTGAAAGGGGAAAATGAGGAAGAGAGAAAATGTGAAAAGAAATAAATGAGAGAATAAGGAAGGATAGTTCGTGAAAAGAGGATGAGGAAGGTGGGTGGGAATAAGGCGATAAAAGTGGAGGAGAATGTCTTCAGAGGACGTAAGCTCTATGAGAGTTATTGGTTTTGCACAGAGAAAAAATTAAGGGACCATCAGTCCCTGCACTTAGGTTATGTCTACGCTTAAAACACTGTAGTGGCTCAGCTGTCAGCGTAGGGAATCTACCTTCCTGAGAAGCTAAGCAGTATCTAGATCAAAGGAAGAATTCTTCCATTGACCTAGCACTGTCTACACTGGAGGCCAGGTTGGATTTCACCCTCCTGAGAGACATAGTTAAGCCAACTTCATTTTCTAGTTTAGACCAGACTTTAGACTCAGTGCAGGTCAGCAGATAACCATGGTGTGGAGAGGGTTGACAGCACAACTATTTTTTACGCTGGTGAGTTATTGGGTTGGATAAGTTTTTCAAGACCTCCTGTAACCCATGATTTTCTTTAGCTGGCTCAACTCCTAAACAATTAAAAATATTTACAGTGTTTCTGACATGTATGAACCAATGCAATATATTCTATTAGAGAGCTGCACAGGCAGTTTATTAATTTACATTAGCTTTTTTGGGTGTTTTGGAAATAATCCCCTTGGACACAATCTTTAGTTTGTTTTCTCCCAAAAAGGAGAGGTGGTATATTTCCTCTTTATTTCTTGCTATTGTAAATGTCCTTTTCACTGGGAAGTCTCCTTTCAATAAACATCTCGATTAACTAAAAAAGCATTTCATAGTAACGACCAAAACAATTCAAGTTATCTGAAAACTAAAAAGAAGCCAGGTATCTAACCACCTTTGTCAGGTTTCAGTATGGTACATTCATCTCAGCATTAGCACCATGTATTTTATTTTACCATGTATTAACTAAGTTGAGCAGTTTGTTCTTCCCCAATTCCCTGCTAATACCATCAGTGGTGTTCTTAATAAATGCAAGAGATTTATGTTCTTGAAAGGCCACTTACTTATTTGGGACACCCAGAGGAATAGCTAAAGGCGGAAAATTAATTACAATTAACAAATAGTGGCATGACCAAGCCAGCATCTTAGGCAGAGAAAAACTGGTTCATGGCCTTACCATCTGCTACTTCCAATACTGCTCCTTTCCACTACTTACAAGAGCACGTGCAGTAAAAGTGTACATATATTTTTGTTGTTATTTATGCAGGCACACATAAGTAATCATTTACATATTTACTGTTAAAACCAATCTGAGTTTAACTAGAATAGCAATTATTTTGTCAAATATTTCATCCCAACAAATTTTGGTTTCAGGTTCACCACCTTACAAGTTTGTGTATATCCTTACCAAAAAGAATATTTTTGCCTGCCATTAATTAGGAGCATATATGGATTCTATTATGGCCACATGGAACCTACAGCCATGGAATTTGCCAGGGAAGTCACCCAATTATAACACTGTGTTCCAGTCTAAGACCAACACAGAACTCTCAACTCAAAGAGATGATAGCTACGATGGCTTTACGCCACTGCTGCACCTTCCCAGAACCTCAGCTGCTCTGCAGCCCCCAGGTTAGTATAGGACAGCATGAGAGATTGCTGAATGGGCTACAGCACTGCTTGGAATCACCACATCACTGGGCGCAGCACTGCAACCCCACCCCTAACATGCCCCTCCCAGCACACCACCTATGCCAGGGCTTGTGAGAGGATCCTCAGAAGGCAGCCTGACAGTCATCTACTACAATGCCTGCATATGGAGAGTCCAGGCCTGGCTATACACAGCGCTTATAGAGCCCTTTTACACCACTTCATCCCTTTTACTCCATCAGGTTTTCACCACAGAATCTTATCTTAAGACATCATAAGAAAGTTTGCTCTAGCCCCCCTGGTTGAGAAACCCTCAAACACATGAGTCAAGTCAGATGCCAGCTGAGTATGCAATAGCTCTGGTGCAGAAGACATCTCATTCATCTCAATCAAGACTCTATGAATTCAATGATTCTGTGGCTATGGAATATGGCATTATACCTATCCCGGAAAGAGGTTGGGGAATGCAGATCAACCTTACTTTAAATCTGAGAAAACTAGAAAAAAAAATCTAAGTGATATTCTGCAAGATTACCTTTCTTCAAGTTCTCATGGACTCCACTCTCATTGTTCCTTCTTTCAAGATTCTCCATATCAATTTTTAGGATTACATCTTGCTCCTGATCCCAACTGCTTGATTTTGGTCTGCAGATTCATTATATCAGCACTCTCACCTACTTGATTCAAACTGCAGTCTCATCTAGTCAGTCACATCTAATTTTATTTAGACACAGCACCAGGAGCTTGAAGTGACTATCAATTCCGAGTCTTGAGCTCTGTCGGGTCTTTTATATTGTTTTTGCAGCAGGAAGGGAGATCTTCTCTCTGCTTTCAAGGAGTTCTGTCTCCTGGAAGTTGAGATGAATCCTCCTGAAGTATCAGACTGCAATTTTACTTTATAAAATGAATAAGGGTTTGATTCCTTTGGGAGTAGTTGCTGAATTCTTGCTGGATGATTTACAAGTTCAGATGGAGAGTCTGGAGACCTGATGGAAATGAATTCTGTAGCTACCTATTTGGAGTTGTAAGTTGAACGTGCCATCCCCAGCAAGTGCCCCTACAGATAGTTTTGAATAGCTGGCTTTGTCAAAACTAGTAAATTTAACTTTAATCCCATTACATTATCTGCTACTTTCACCACTCAACTCTGACAAATAGAGCAAGTTACACCACCTAGATGACCATGGGAATTGGCATACACAAAAAGGTTCTCTTTCACTCTGCATACCTTGCAATAAGTTAGTTTAGTACTTTAGCACAGTTGAACTGTTTTGAAGACTCCAGGTCCCTAGATTAACTTTATCCCCTTTACTAGCTAAGATCCAGTTATATCTATATAAAGATGCTTTAAGTTTTGGTTTATCCCAAACTCCCCTTCACACTTTTTTCCAGTATGTATAAGTGAGCAATATACTAGAGTAACTGAGACCATACCACAATAGTTCACCAGATTAATCTATTATAATCTGAGAGCCAACTGCAATAAATGTCACTAACCTGCTCAATAGTGTTTAAGCATTAATTTCTAGATTTACCTGTATTTAAACTTTCCACTCTTAGAGGGAGACCTGACTGGGCCACAGCAACAAGTTTCAAAGCAATATAGAACTGACTTCTTCCAAAATATCCAAGTCTTGTTGCACCACAAAGTTCCATAATCTGTAAGAGAACAAATATTAGTATTTATGAGAGGCAAATCAAAATGCCAGATATTTTATCAGAAAAAGCAGCCACCTTTAAGTACAGACATAACAGAACTCTTAAGGTGGTAAATTTGTCAATGGCAATGCTTTGCATTAACTAGTCTTGTCTTAATTTTTTGGCAACAGTGGGTCATAAGTAGGGTCCCTGTTTTCTGGAAATTGTGGCTATTATCATGTTTGTTCCCCACAATGACTCTTCATTTCCGAAGTCACCATTCAAAGGGAGAGGGAGGTGGTGGCGGCACATGGGCAGAGGTGATGTGTGGGTATGGAATGCAGAGTCACATCCCCCAGATTTCTGCTAGGAGACACCTGACTCCTCCACAGGCTGCAGGGCAGAGGCTGGCTGCTGGTGAGACTCGCTGTCAACTTCTCCCCTCCTCACATAGGCTTGGGCTTGGCAAAACCACCATGGATCTTCCTCTGGAAGGGCGGGGCACCAAGCTCCTTCGCCATGTTGCAGAGCGGATGCCACTCACATCCGCTCTCAGCAGTGTACACAGCGCCTCTCCCCCACTCTTAGCCGACTCCTGCCTTCTCCCCCTAGCACACAGCTGGTCTGGCTCTAGCCTCCAGTGCCCAGCATTTTTGTGCTGTAAAATCTCATGTTTGTTGATATATGTATTTTTTTGTATCAATATAACTCCTATCTGAAATTTCTGAAATATACAGATTTGAAAAATCTGAAATTACTGTTTTCATTTCCAGAAAACACTGGCCCTAGTCATGAGGCATTATTTCATAAGAAGAGTTGTGAAAGGTACAGATCTGGGGAATAATCATGGAGCAGTTAAGCCAGCTGCTACAGCTGTTCCATCAGCAGCTGGGCTGTCTACTCCTGGAGGTATGCTGCTGTAGAAACAGCTGGGGCCCAACCTTAAAATGGTTCAAGGATGTTAGCATCCTACCAGTTATGCTAAATGCAAGGCAGAGATGGAAAATTATGATTTTCAAAATCTTGTAACTCAGCCAAACTTAAACAGAATTCCATGGCACAAACTAGAGCCACATCTCTGGCTGCACTCCCCTTGCTGAATTTCAGTTGAGAAGTTAGAGCTTCTAAAAAAGTCATAAGTCTTCTATAAAAGAAAGTGTTAGACAGCCTTAATAGAGAAGTTCACTGTCAGATCCCTTTATAAGTTGTCAAACATAGCAAGTGCATATTTCTAACCTATCATTTTAGCTACCAATGCACATGTCTAGTCAGAACACATAAGAAATTTCCATGAATATATATTGGAAAAGAGTGGCTCAACCTATTATGGAGGAAGAATATGCAGGGCTCAAGCTAGGTTTGCGCCACAGCTCAAAGAGCCAGGAAGCTGATGTATGACCCTTTGGTTACTTTGGCCTGCTCCAGGGCAGGGTTTGAGAATTACAAAGTTGTAACTTAGGGCTGGTCTACACTAGGGGTGGGGGTCGATGTAAGATACGGCGTGGGATCGACGGCCGCGGCTCCCCCATCGACTCTGCTACCCCCGCTCATCCTGGTGGAGTTCCGGAGTCGACAGGAGCGCGTTCGGGGATCGATATATCGATCCCCGATAGATAGATTGATCGCTACCTGCTGATCCGGCGGGTAGTCTGGACGTACCCTCAGTGGTACTTCTCAGCTTCTCTCATCCCCCCCCCCCACCCCCGCCTATTTTTTTTTTGCTTCTCCAAATGGCTGAGTGAGAGAGGGGAGCCATCCTTTGCTAGATGCTCTGAGCTTGGGAAGTGTCTGAAATTCCTACCCTGCTCTTCCTGGGGCTCCCACGATTAGAACTACTCTTCCCTCACTGGACTGCTGCATTTCAGGGGAGGAAGTA